GTATATTGTCAATAATATGTTTTGAAAAATACGGTAATATTAATCCTGATTTTAGTATTTTTTATGATCATTGAATTAATTATTCTCTATTTTTCTTTATAGATGTATGATTTATATCTTTTTTAATTATAATATTTTAGTTTATTATTACAAATATTATAAAAGTGACCAATTATTAAATAAAATAAATAATTTTATTTGTCTTTTAAGTTAAAGAAGAAGAAGATAAGACAAAGAGTGGTGTTTGTTGAAGAATAGTTGAAGAGGAAGAGAGGTAGAGACGCCAAAAAAGAGAAGAAGAGAGAAAAAGGGCACAAAAAAGAGAAAAAGAAAGAGGGCGCCAAAAGAAAGAAAGGGCGCCAAAAGAAAGAAAGAGAAAGAAAGCGGGCGCAAAAAAGAGAAGAAAAGGCGTCAAAAAGAGACTGGCGTCGCGCTTAGTAAAAAGAGACTAAGCATAAAACGAGAAAGAAAGAGAAAGAAGCGGGCGCAAAAAAGAGAAGAAAAAGCACCAAAAAGAGATTGACGTCGCGCTTGGTAAAAAGAGACTGAGCATAAAACGACGTCGTTTTGATCAAATTTTACCTAAAACGACGTCGTTTTGGCTCAGTAAATAACAAAATTTTATTTTTAAAAATATGGTCGAATTATACAAGAATTATATGTGAATTATACGGCTAAGACATATAATTCGCGTATAATTCGGTTGTGCTTATAGAATACGGGAATTCGTGTTTTATATGCGAATTATATGGTTGGGCGTATAATTCGCGTATAAAACGCGAATTTACTAACTAGGGCTAGAAGAATGCACAAATATATAAAACTCTACAAACTTCCATTGAATATATGCCTGAACTGCTTATCTTTGTATGTTTAACATTAGACGTGCAATGTTCCCAATCTTATATCCGAGCTTCATGTTTGAGAGATAAATAAATTGGACAACATTATAAATAAAAAATGACAGAGAGGCTTGGATTATGAAGAAACTAGATTTTGGTGGTCATATATGGAAGATAATTCGACAGAAAATGTACATTCTTTTTAAAATTACAAAATGGCTCTCAATTTATGAAAAGAGTTAAATCTTTACATAAAGATAAAAACATAGGGTGTACAATGACAAGAACCGCAACTGAGAATAACAAAATACATATATATATATATATATAATCAATTTATTAATTGATATGTCATTTAAAGATAATATCACGTAACTTGATATTAATTTTTTTGTTACTAAGAATTTGTAAGTGTAACATTACTCGTAAGAATGAAATAATATTATACTTATAAAGTACTTATATAAAGATTTACAAATTTTTTAATATATACGAATAGACAAGATGAATGAATGAATGAATGAATTTGTATACAAACTTAATAGGTATAAAACCGCATTTACTGTACCATTTGGTCAATATAAATGGAATGTAATGCCCTTTGGGTTAAAAAANGGGGGGGGGGCGGAACTGTTATTATTTTTTTTTACTTTTTTACTGAAAAATATCAGTTTAATACCTCATAGTTTAAAAAATCATCAAAACACCCTGCGTAAGTGCATAGTGTTTACGCGAGCCGGACCAGGCTCGCGAACCCACGAGCCGAGCTTCACTATGTTCGAACTCGACTCGGTTAATAAACCGAGTTCGAGCCAAGTCGACTTGATAATAACCGAGTCAAGCCAAGCCGGCTCGGCTCGTTTACAGTCCTATTAGCAACCACAGAAACAACTCCCAGAATATTAATGTTAAATATGAAGATTGAATATAGAAAGAAAAAAAAATGTTCTGTATTTACTTAACAAGGACATCCAAGATATATTGACAAATTTCCTAAAAATATACACACACTGATCCACTTTTTTAGCAAAATGTCTAGAATAGGATAAAAGTACAAAAACTTATAAATATACATCCTCTCATTTACCCTAACAATTAATATACTTGATTTTTAAAATAAATATTTGCATGGTATAAATTTATTCGTTTACTGTATAAATAACATGGTACTGAATAGACTCTTTCTACTTCCAGATGCCATGGCAAGGCATTTAACATTTGGTTGCACTCAACTCAAAGATTCCTTTCTTAGTAAATTTTTTTCTTCACAAATATTACATACTTAAAAAACAAGGAAAGAAACGTAGGAAGTCCTTCAAGCACAAGACATTACAATAAATACTTGGAACCTGTACAATATAACATCTTATGCAAAGGGCAAACAGCGCACTAGTGTAAATGTTGCAACAACACTCAGTTATCATATATAATTTAACTTATAACCCCAGAAAGTTAGCCTATTACATAACGAATCTATGGAGACAAAACAGAGTGGCAGAGCTACTTCTCATCATACGGAATGAAAAGCAAGGTTACAATTATAACCTGCATAATTCCTTCCACCTTGAATTTTATTTCTAAGAAATGCAGAATCAGAGGCCTAAGTTGATACATCTTTCTATGATTGCATCCCTATCTATTCCAGTCCAGCTTTGGGTATACACCTAAGAACAGATCCAAGAAAGGTGGAAGTCTAAATATACTATAAAGCTCAAAGCTTTTAGGCCTCACAAAAAATTATATACCTATATTGATAACTTAAGGAATTTTCTTAAAAAATTAAAAATAAGAATATCATTTAAGTACAATCTTAAGTTTTGTATTCTAAGTTATGTGATATTTACATGACCATGTTTATATCAATTGCCCCATAAATAATATATCAAAGCGACACATTTTAAAAGGTTGCTATGGATTTCATTACTCACAAATTATTAAAAATACATATGCACAAGGTAACTACAAGTACACAGGGAATAAAAAAAAGCAGCCAACAAAGAACATCAAACCAAAATAAAAGATATATGATGTCCTAGAAGTTCTGCAATAACTGAATGATTCCTATTGTGGTTCCATAAACTTTTTGTTCCTAGCTCCCAAACATTTTATAAAACTGACAGTATCGCCCACGTAAATATCCCTTAAAACCAATTCAACCTCATATGAAGACCTTCAAAAACTGCCAAAGAGTGGATGCAACAACCAGCAAAAGAACAATAATTGTTCATATGATCCACCATCCATAGTCCTTTTCGAAATTCAAACACCCAATAGAAATAAAAAATAAGCTTCCGATTATAAGAAATAGGAAAAGCAAAATACTATCAAGGCAAAAAACAAAACCAGAAGCAAACAAACAACATTAACAGATCGGTTTGCAAAGGAATGCAGGAAAGATTACTCATGGTTTTGGTCGGATCTCTGAAGAAAGCAGAAGTGGATTGTGGAAATGGGGCTGTGTGTTGTTTACCCAAAACTCGGGCCCTAGAGTTCCTGGGCGATGTTGACCTCGCAATCGGCGGAGCAGACGTCGATCCCATTCGATTGAAAACACTTTTCTCTTGTTCTTTCACCTCCCTTCTTCAAAACTAGTTCTCTCTTCTGCAGTTCTTCTCTCCCATCGGTCTCCCTCCGCTTCAAATACCTCCTCTCCCGCTCCTCCGCCACCTCAGCCAAAGTTTCCGAATTCATCAAGCTCTTCGCCATCGACCTCAACGGCCAGAAATGACAAAAAAAATAAAAAAAAATCTGCTTCTAAGTATTGACGCATATGAAGCTGATACACACTACAGAAATGACCAAAAAAAAAAACCGTTGGTCTAAGCTGTGCAAAACCGGGTACCCGAACCGGTTTAGACAAAAAATGGGTACCCGAATATTCGGATATCTCTAAAAAAGTACCCATAAACCGAACCGGTTTTTAGAATACCCGGTTTACGGGTACCCGAATTTGATTAAAATTCATCATGAATTTTAATTTTTTACAAGATACAATTCCATCGGGGTATTTCATTCAATAATTTTACAATTGAAGAAGCAGCAGCAAAGAAATATGTAAAGGAAGTAGACTGAAGCCGAATGTGGAGAATTTTTGCAGTACCTTGAAGTCTTAAGAAGAAAATTTCAGTGGAGAATTAATTAATTAATTAAGCACCAACACATAAAACAATTCTATGCACTTCACCAACAAGCTAACATATGGGCACAACACGCTGATGTTTCTTTTTTATTTCCATCCTTTAAGAATCTCTTAAAGGTTCAGGATAAGTTTCCTTTTTATTTAGAAATTTTTTTCCCTAATAATAATGATCATGAGGGTTTCATGATCTTTACTTTTGGCACAAAATAATTAAAATAAATTAACTAAAAGAAAGTTAAGCAAAATAGAGGGTTGGATATAGCATATCGCCTTTAATTTTCCCATATATTAGTTAAAGCTCCATAAATAAAAACAAAATATATTGAAAACAAATAAAAAATTGGAAAAAGTTAGGAACGACACACAGAGGGCAGCATTTCCAGACACAAGAAGCAAAAATCAGAGTTAAAACAGAAGGATGAAGGGTTATCCGAAGACAAACTAAAGCAAAATTATTGATAAAAAGAATTTCATGATACTTATTAACTGTAAAGAAAATATGATCTTCAACATCAGTCCACAAACGTACTGGAGAGTGGAGACTAGAGAATTTAAGAGAGATGAGTGCAGATTGTGGGACCTGACGCACTTTACTGGAGAGTGGATCTGGAGACTAGAGAATTTGAGAGAGATGAGAAAAAAGTGTGGGACCTGACGACTGATGCAGTGACGCTGATGGGCTGAAATTTTAGGGCAATGTATTTGCCTATTTGGGGCTTTAGCCCTTTGAAAATTGAAAGTAAAAAAAAAAAATTTTAAAATTTGTTTTTTTTTTTTTTTTTTTAATAAAACCGGATACCGGGTATCCGGTTATCTTAAATTAAATAACCGATACTCGAACCGAAATTCAGGTATCTTATAAAAATTACCTGAAACTGACCCGAATTTTCGGGTACCCGAAAATTCGAATTCGGTTCGATTCGGTTATCGTGTTCGGTTCGGTTATCGGTTTTTTTTGCACAGCCCTAAAGTAGACAACTTATCATGGCTTTGGATGGAGGATCATGGCTCGTACAAACTCAAATTGAACCAAATAATGCATATGCTTGAGCTAAATCAGAAAAAAATAGTCAAGTTTACCTAATTGTATTAATAAATTAGAATAAAAAATGAATAAAAATCATAAAACAAAACTCGAAAGTAGCAGGTAAATTTATTAATAAAAAACATAAAGATATACACTTAATATAAAAAAGTCATAGTTGAAAAGTAAATCCATCCATAAGAAAAAATAAAATACAACCAAATTGAAAGCCACAAGAACAAAAATAAAAAAAAAATAAAAAAAAAACTTCCTCTACTTCTTTTCCACGTATCCCTTCCACTTCACTTGGTTGATTGGTTCACATCATCTAGATAGCTATGTGAAATGCAATTAATAATATATTATATTTAAATAATAAAAAGAACTTATAATACTTTTTATTACAAAATGCTAAGTATTATCTATAATAAAACTAACATATATAGAGATAAGAAGAACTCACCTGCAATATCACACAAGCAGCAGAGTTGTTCTGCTTCCTATGAACAATATGAATATAAGATTCAGTCATGTTAATTATTAAAGCCGAAGACAATATAATAAATAGGCACTTAGAAAATGCAAAATAAACGGTCAAGCTTAAACTAAATTTTAATAGTTTCATGTAACTTAATTCATAATTGTGTTTTTGGCGGCTGTTACATTTTAAATTGTTTTTATCTTATTTAATAATAATCGACTGCTACTTAGCATTAACATTTTGCAATTCGGATACTGTCTAACAATTAATGTCATACCTTGCTGGGGAGTTATGCTGATATGAACAAATTGTATTATAGTGCACTCACCTTTGTTGAATGATTCTCATCTTGATAGGTGTACTCTAAACCTTTAAGCTTTCCTGTTGTAGAGAGCATATCAACAAAATCCGCCACTTCTTTTTGCATTTCCTAACCAAATAAAAATAAGTTGAATGATATCTAGATAAATGACTAACCAAACAAAAATAATTTAATGAGATTAGAGACTAAAGGAAAGATTATAGTAATAGCTCATGTGATGAAAACTTACATTCATAATGTTAGGTTTATAGCATGGATCGCCAATAAGGAAACCTTTGACATTATTCTTAGAGATCTACATAAATAAGGATTATAAGTTGACTTAATAAGTTATCTATCATAATCTAGTTTACAGCCAAATCGATATAAATACTATAAACACAAGATTCACCTCAAAGGAAGACCTAACAATAACTGAATACACAATCATAACCCTACAAATTTGATCCAAAGATATCATTCAAAAAATTTGAGACAAAATCCAATCAAAGATATTCACTTAATGCCACACTAAAGTAATTCATACAAATAAATTTAAAGAAAAGGAAGTAAGAATATAAAGTAATGGGAAAACTTTACCATTTTTATAAGTTCATCAGAATTGTAATCAATTCCATCACTCCTATACAGAACACTGCAACATTGAATCAACAAGAATATAAAACAAAAGTAACTAATTTCTACCTATTAACACCCCCATAAACAAAAATTAAATTACAAAACTAAATTATGTAGACTCATACTTCAAACCTATTGCATGCTTATTATCCGGATCAAAAATAGCCACTCTAACGTACTTTGTTCCTACGTCCAAACCGAGCAATCGCCCTTGGTTTGCAATGTTTTCGTTGTTGATATTATGGAACAACTCCAAATGATTCACACACTTCATCTAAGATGAAAAAATTCGGTAAATCACTCATTACATAGATGAATTCCAATTCCAAGTCTAAAATAAATAAAGACGGCATTCAACCATTTGGATTTCTTAGGTTGAATGACTCATTAGACTCACAAAAAACAACCTGAAGAATCTCAACAAAAGCCTGCTAAAATTTGATTTCTAAAGAAATGAAACAAAGTTACAATAATTTGAATACCACAGAAGCATTACAATATCTTACACATAAACAGATTCACCACATGCAATCACATTTCTCATTATATAACCAAAAAGGGAGTCCAAAAACCTTCAACATATTCAACAAAATAATAATTGAATACAAACCCACTTGCAGAATCAATCCACCATGTTGACTGAATCTTCAAACTCATAAAACAACCTGAGAAAAAGTATGTTTCTACATTCTATACATAAACATGCCTAGTAAAATTTGGATGAAGAATTACATTACTGATTACATAACAAAAACAAACCAAAAAAAAAATCAGTTTAAAACCTTCAAAATATTCAACAAATAAAACACTTGGAAAAAACACACTAACTACAACTAAAAATTCTAACTGATTAAGCATACCTAGTGTTGTTGCTTCACTATCGAAAAATAAATAAATCTTATATCATTTGTTAGAAAAATAATCACAATTGTTTGTTGGAAATGTGATCAACTAAGCATGCACGGACAAAAAACTAATCATAGCAATAGAAACAAAATTCAACAATGCAAATGTATGTAAGTGTCCTCCTAACTGTGAATTTAACATATGTTTGAACTAGAATCCACCACTAAAAAACCAAACCTCATACACAAACAAAAACCCTTAAATTTGCTAGAAGCAAAAGATAGCTACGGAGACGCTGAGCCTTCAACAAACAAATTGAAAAGTCTTGGGAAAAATTTCAAGAAAAGTCTCAAACAAAAACTTTGAAAGCGGTTTGATGTTAAAAGCTAAAAGCCTTCAACAGCAAGGCCAGCTCTGAAGAAAAATCTGGAACCAGAGTTGTGTTCTCTCCCTTTTTGCTGCATATAAATTGAAGCTCAAGCTCTGATCACCGCTATCTCTCTCTCTCTCTCTCTCTTTCTCTCTCCATTTGCTCTAATAAATGATAAAATAAATGAATTTATGCTGTTCTAGTTAAGGAAGCAATACACGTAGAAAAATCCTTCTCCCCCCACTTCGACCAAAACAGAGTCCAAAAACCCAGTGCAACCGAAAATTCTAACTGATTAAGCATACCTAATGTTGTTGCTTCACTATCGAAAAATAAATAAATCTTATATCATTTGTCAGAAAAATAATCACAATTTTTTGTTGGAAATGTGGATCAACTAAGCATATCATAGCGAAAGAAACAGAGTAAAATAATGCAAATGTATGTAAATATGTAATCGACCCAAGGGTTATACAAGAAGCAAAATCTGTCATATAGAATATGTCTAATAGCTTGAAAAGCAACATGGAAACTGGAAACAAAAATTTAACATATGTTTGACCTAAAACCCAACACTAAATAACCAGACACATACGCAAACGAAAACTCTCAAATTTGCTAGAATCAAAAGAACCATGAATAAGGATAAAGAATACATTAAAATGGTCAAGAAGGGGCCTTTAACAGTTAGCAACGGAGACGCTGAGCTCTGTTTGGTTCTTGGGAAAAATTTCAAGAAAATTCCCAAACAAACAAATTGAAAGGGTTCCGAATTTTAAAAACTAAAAAGCTTCAACAGCAAGGCGAGCTCTGGAGAAACTCTTGGATCAAATTGAAGCCCAATCTCTGATCTACTCTCTCTCTCTCTCTCTCTCTCTCTCTCTCTCTCTTTGTGAGTTTGCTAAGTGAAGAGCGAACGCGTTGCTTTAAAGTCTTGAGAGTGTTTCGTCTTAAAAATTGCATGAGCAACAAAAGTACGTGTTACAATTTGGAACTTTGAACATACTTGAATATGAACTGAATAAAAGTTTTCCCACCCAAGGTTTGCCTTAATAACTCTCTACCCTGGAAGTTTCGAAATACTACTTTCCCACCCAAAGTTAATATTCTGTTACTATTTAAAGCCGATTCTGGTGCAAAAATTCTCTTGATCACCACCATTTGAACCTCCAGTCTCTTTTCTACAAAACCCCTAATTTTTGACCGATTGTTGGCTACCACAAAGCTAAGGTTTCCTGTTCTTAGGCTCTTAGCTGATTTTTGACTGATTATAGCGACAAATATTCAATTGATCAACATCATTTGATCCATCAGCCTCCACTCTATAAAACCCTTCTTACCCTGGCTCTTAGTAACTCATGAAACACTAACTGAGAAAGTAAAGTGTATTTTGGATATTAATGGAAAATAATCTTTGGGTGGTAAAGTAGTATTTTGAAACATTGTGGGTGGCAAAGTAACCAAGGTGAACCTTGGGTGGGAAAAAAAACATTGTGTTGGGAAAAAGTAATTTACTCGTGGGAGTAAGAGTTAGAGTCAGCCATGTGCCCATGTGGGTATGGAAGAGAGATGAGGAAACATTATCCATATTATTTATTTTTAATTTATAGCATTAATGAAATTTACGTGTTATGTTATCTGTAAGTCAATATAAAAAACAATTTTTAATATATATCAAGTCTAACTACAATAGAGAAGAATTTATATAATGAATAACAAATAAAAAGACTCATCCATAAGTAGTTTGGATGGTTAAGATAAATTAGTAATAATGGAAGGTTATGGTAGTGGGTTGATGTGCTAGTTTCTCTTGAGGATTAATCGAGATGCATGTAAACTAATCCAAACACTTTGATTTAAAAAAGAAAAAAACAAAACAAAAGTTTAACTTATTATAAAATATGAAATTTCAACCAAAATGATTGGGAGGGTGTTTGTCAGAGTTATAAGCTCTAAAATTAAACTGATATGTTTGTTTATAATTTTTTTGAGCTTATAAGCTAAAAAAAATAAGTTGAGGGGGAGTTGCTTTTTTTTGTTTGCAGCTTATAAACACCCGACTTATAAGCTAGTTTGACCAAGTATATTACCACATTATTCCTATTTAATTTTAAAATTTCATTGTACAATTTATTAATTGATAAAATAATATAGTATCCTTTTTAGTCATTTTAATAATAAAATTTACTTATAAATAATATTTTACCAAACGCGTTAACTACATATCAGTCACTTATAAGTACTTTAATCAAACACATAATTGCTTAAAATTTCAAATGCTTATAAGATCAAATTAGCTTATAAGCCCTAACTACTTATAAGCTAATTTTCATAAGTTCAACCAAACAAGCTCTGGATAAATCCTCACCACGTGTGATGCAATTTGAGATAGTTTAATTTTTTATAAAATATGAAAGTTTCAACCAAAATGACTGGATAAATGTTCACCACGTGTGATGTAATTTGGCCCAAAATTTCTCAGTTTTGTCTCATGGTTATTAGTATCCTACCATACGCGATATGTGTCCTATGATACGATACGATATAGGTTACTAATGACATGTATCAGAGAGTATATCTTAAACCTTTCGATACATTAATATGTATCCTACGATACGATACGTATTGTTAAGGCAAAAAATCATCCTTGGCCCAAATAGGAAAACGAGCCCGACACTGAAGGAGAAGCCAAGCCCAATCCCGATATGACCTAACCGGATTACGCCCATTCGGTACAAGATATAGCCGGCCCAAACCATGTGGGCACAAGCCTCCTAATCCCAGTCAATTTCCTAGGTCCATGGGCGAATCCAGAGCCCACGGCCCCCTCAGAATACTTTCCTACTCCTTATCAAATCTCCCATTCAAGGTCACCTTCCTATTCCTGATCAATTTCCTGCTCGAAGTTACTCTCCTAATCAGAATTACCTTCCTATTCAGACACTGGTAAGACAACTTACCACGGCCCTAATTCTTCTAGGGTTTGCATCAGAGTCATACTAGGACTCCTACTTCTACCAGGATTGGGAGACCAGACAGTCACTATATAAGCAGAGGTCAGCCCTCTCACAAAGGAGACTACATTATACCTTCACACTGAAAGCTCTGACTTGAGAGCTTCACATCACCGCCGTAGTCACAGTCCCCGACTAGACTTCCGGTAACCTTTTATTCCCTAGCCCTCACTATATTAGCCTTTCAGCCTTGCTGAGATGAGCGTCGGAGTGCCTACGTCAGACACCACCCCGGTGTTTCCCGTTCGCTTCACACGTGTGTTTCTCTACGTGTGCAGGTGCAGCAGATCGCTAGTGGCCTCAACCTCACAGGATCAGACCCCCCTTTCGTACAGGTAGATTTTTACTTCTATATATATCCATTCGTATCCTTAAAAATATCGATACAAATCAATAGGATTTTGTTAATTTGAGCCAAAAGCCCAAAAAAATTTAGAGTCAGATCCGGGTCACCCAACTCGGTTCACTAAAACCTACTCTAATTTACCCATTTCGCACGGAGAAAGTGAAGAGAAGCATGTGTTGCCTATTTTGCATGATAATAATAATACAAGTGAAGATATAAATATTGACAATAATCTTGGAAATTATATGAATGGTTGAGAGGAAATGATATAAATTTTTAATTTTCTAATTAATTTTGATTACTTAATACCATAATTTAAAACCCAAAATTCTTTAATTAATCTATGAAATGATATAAATTTTTAGAAAAAATTTATTATTTTATTAATCTTTTTGAAAATGGCATATCCTACGATACGATACGATACGCGATACATGATTTAAAAAATTAGGTTTTCGATACGCAATACGATACACGATTTGACAACCATACTTTGACTAATTTTTTTGAATCGTGTATCGCGTATCGTATTGTAGGATGCGCCTTTTTCAAAAAAAATAATAAAATAATAAAAAATTTCTAAAAATTAATATCATCCCCAATATTAGTTAATGAATTTTGTAGTATTATTGGCTTTAAATTATGGTATTACGTAATCAAAATTAAAGATCTATATCATTTCCTCTCAATATTCATAT